TTTGTTGAAGCAGAAGGGGACCGGGTCCCCACACCCGACAGCTGAGGTCCACCCAGCCCTCCTCTGCATTCGTGACCACCACCACCTCAGGTCATAAGTTAGGGCTTAGGATTTAGAGTTTAGAGCTTAGGGTTAAGGTTAAGGGTTTAGGGTTTAGGGTTTAGGGTTTAGGGTTTAAGGTTTAGGGTTTAGGGTTTAGGGTCGTAAGTTAGGGGCTTCATCCAGGGTCCTTTCGGCTCCAGGGGCCCCAACAACTAGAAAAGCATTTTGGGGTACGTAGGGTTTAGGGTTTAGGGTTTAGGGTTTAGGGTTTAGGGTTTAGGGTTTAGGGTTTAGGGTTTAGGGTTTAGGGTTTAGGGCACATTGTACTATATCTGTAATAAGGAACCTCCAAGACAGTAGAGGTAATTATTAAGGCCCCTATGTTGGACTCTAGGGTTACGGGGGTTGGAGTTCTGAGGCTTAGTGTTGATGAGGGGTTCCGGGGTGTATTCGAGGTTTTAGTGTTCCTTCTGTTTGCGGAGTTGTTGAAGAGGACCGTCCTAGAGCCGGGTCCTTCTGCAGGCTTTACTGAAGCTTAGCGACGGATCATCAACGCCGGACTTTGCACTAGCGTTCCAAAGGCTTCATACCCAGAGACCCCAAACCCCTTAATTAAGGAATATACCTTAAATCATACTAGGGATCCTACTATAATGAAAGGTATATTCCTTAATTAAGGGGTATTGGGGTCTCTGGGCAAGGCGGACATGGATTTCGTATTTCGGCTCATTGCCTGCGGCTCCGGGTTGGATTTGGAGCTGCATAATATAGGGGCCTTGATAATTAGAACAGGGTGTTGGGGCCCATTCTACTATAATGATAATGATAAGGAACCCCCAAAGATTAAATAACATAGGTAATTATTGAGGCCCCTATAGTAGCTATCACTTTTGATATTTCTGCCCCCCGAACAGGTGCCGTAGCCACTAAGCCCCCAACCTCAAGCCTACGGTCAAGACCCCTCAACCCACAACCCCACCACCGAAGCCCAACAGCCCTTGAAAGCAGCACAGAAAACAAAAACAAACCAGTTTCCAGCAACCCTAAAGCGCCACGATGCCATATAAAGGCCTTCTAGAGGACCCTATCTACAAATCAGCCAACCTCATAGAACTCTTTTGCAACCGTATAATGCCCCTCTACAACCCCAAGAGGTCACATCAGCTCCTCAAGCGCGAGGACCTCCGAAAAAGCTCTCCTAGACCCCAAACCCAAAAACCCTCAACCACCAAACCCCAAACACTAAACCCTAAACCCCTAAACACCCAAACCCTAAGCTGGGAAACCCTTCACCCCTAAACCCAAAGCCCTAAACCCTAAAGTTTCCCAAAACCCTAAAGTTTCCTAAACCCTAAGGTTTCCTAAAACCCTAAACCTCCAAACCTGCAAACCCTAAAACCCGGACCTTGTCGGCCAGAGTGAAGGCCACTTCCTCAGCTCAAGGCGAAGCCAAAGCAAACTTTCATGCCCTCAGAAGGGTCCCTGTCCCTATTTGGGGGTTCTTAAAAGAGATCTACTATAAGAGCTCAAGTCCCCAAAAGTATCTTTTTAATTACCCCTACTCTTTCGGGGCCTTATTGTAATACTACTCCAAATCCTATTCTAATCATTGAGGCTGCTGTAGAACTGTGGCACTTGGGGGCGGACGTCAGCTGCAGCTGCATCAGAAGCCGATGGTCGCGACTCAGTAGCAAAGGCAGCCGCCCCTGTGCCAGGAGGCGGTCGGCGAGGTCTGACGCGCCTGCATCAGCTCGCGAAACTCTCGGCAGGTCCTCGGATGAAAGGTGTCGTCCCTGCCAGACTGGGCGCAGTCCGAGCTGACGACCGTGGTAACACGCTACAGAAGCAATTATGATTGGGTTTAGGGTTTAGGGTTTAGGGTTATGATATAACATTATATCTTTATATGGGGCTTCCTGTTATGAGTTGGGGAATACTCTGCATCAGAGGAATCAAGCCAGGATCTAAAATCTAAGCCTCTCTCTACCCTAAACCCTAAACCCTAAACCCTAAACCCTAAACCCTAAACCCTAAACTTGGTACGCTGATCCCCAAGGCCCTACATCCCAAAGTCCCCGCCCGAATGCAAAAGCGGCCCAATCCGGACGCACTGTCAGTCTCTGCAGCAAAAGAGGATTCTTCTAGGGTTTAGGGTTTAGGGTTTAGGGTTTAGGGTTTAGGGAACCCTTCAACCCTAAACCATACAGGAAAAGAAGATGGCAGCTCCCTAAATTCTGCAACTCTCTGTCGCGGGACCCCTAAACCCTGAAAGGCTAGATTCGTGACCCTGCCCCACGGTAAACCCCCAAAAGCCTACCTTCTTCTACGACTCCTTCCCAGGAAGTCATAATTAAGAGCCCGCCAAATTAAGGGCTTCATAGGCTCCAGGTAGATCCAAAGACCTTTCTTCCTAAACCCCGAAGCCCCAAACCCCTAAACCCCAACCGTCCTATAAACCCTCAGCCCTAAACCCCCAAACCCCTAAACCCTTAGCCGTCCTATAAACCCTCAACCCTAAACCCCAAAGCCTAAACTCTGAACTGTCCTATAAACCCTAAACCCTTAACCCCTAAGCCTAAACCCTAAACTGTCCAAAAAAAACCTAAACCCCCACAACCTAAACCCGAAACCCTAAACCCAAAACCCTAAAACCCTAAACCCTAAACCTAAATCCCAAACCCTAAACCCCAAAACCTAAACCCTGAACCCTAAACTCAAAACTCGAGGACCCGGCCAACAGGACCCGGGCTTCCTGTGCCAAAGCCTCCCGCACTTCGGGGGTCGGTTTAGGGTTTGGGGTTTAGGGTTTAGGATTTAGGGTTTAGGGTTTGGGGTCTAGGGTTTAGGGTTTCGGGTTTAGGGTTTCGGGTTGCGGGTTTCGGGTTTTGGGTTTAGGGTTTCATTTCTGGGTTTAGAGCCTGGGGTTTTCGGGTTTCGGGTTCAGGGATTAGGATGGCTCTTTTCCAGACCTTACCAGGAGGAGCCAGGTGTGGGGGTGCTTAGGGTTTTGGGTCTAGATTCAGGATTTGGGGTTTCAGGGCTTTCACGGAGTTTATGGTTTGGAGTCCAGGTTGTGGTCTGGTCGCAGTTGATAAGAGGGATCAGGTTCAGGGTTTTAGGATTTAGGGCTTAGGGTTAAGGGTCAGGGTAAGCCACCATAACCTACAGTTGTGTTGGGCTCCAAGCCTTACTTAATTGCTCCCGACAACAATCCATCACTCTGCAGGTTAAGGCAGGACCCAGAGATCGTGGATTCGAGGGCTCACTGAGAGTCTAGATTCTGCGCCCCATCCAGACAGATTGACATGAGACATCATCCTAAAACCTTAGACCCTTAAGCCCCGAAGCCTAGGCCCTAAACCCTCGATCCTAACCCTGAGCAGTGGCAAGGGAAAACCCTCTAAGATCCCTTGCCTCCTGGAGGGCCTAAGCCCTCAGCCACGGTATCAGGCCTTAAGGCCTCAATTTGCCTCAATCCTAGCCGCTGACCACGCCATCGAACGCTGCAAACCCCCGAGCTCCTAAACCCTAAACCCTAAACCCCAACGCACATAACCCTAAACCCCAAACCCTAAACCCTAAACCCCAACGCACATAAACCCAAAACCCTAAAACCCCAAAGTCTACAACCCCTATGTAAACCCTAAACCCTAAGCCCTACGTCCTAAACCCCAAAGTCCCGAACCCCGGCCTCAAGGCGTGCTTCCAGCTCACCCGTTGGCCGCTCCCCCATCACCTTTGTTATCTTCTAGGGTTTAGGGTTTAGGGTTTAGGGTGTAGGGTTTAGGGTTTAGGGTTTGGGGTTTAGGGTTTAGGATTTAGGTTTAGGGTTTAGGGACCCTAAAAGTATGTCGAATCATAACCTTTTATGGGTCTTGGGGCATTGTTTTAGCTACTTTTGGGGGGTTTAGGTAGGTATGAATAACAAGGGCCCCATTTGATCGAAGGTATTTCCGGCTTTGGGGTTTAGCGTTTAGTGCCTAGGGCGCTGTGGGGTTTAGGGTTAAGCTTTCTTCTACGTGTCGCAATGCTGCGGTTGGCCGCGATTTCCTAGCTACCGCTTCTCCCTTTAAGTTTTGGAGCCTATCAAGAGCGCACGCCCCCAAACCCTTTGCGTTCACCCATGTATCCCCCAATCAAACCCTCTAAAGTCTTGAAAAAAACAAGTCTTGAAAAAAAGAATAAGGCTCAAGAAAGGAACCCGAAAACCTTTTAAAATCGCTAGAGAAGCCTTGTATTTCAACTCTTCGTAACTCTTCCATTCCATACACGAGTTATGGGACCCTCTACAAATACCTTGCAACAACCGATAGCGAACCCTGCAAAAAGAACCGATAGCAAACCCTACAAGAACATAACTATACAAACTTATACAAGGCCCTCTAGTGAACCCGTGGACTCAATGCCGAAGGCTGAAACCGTCCACCAAAAAACGCAGAAAGCAATATGTAAGTCCATGACGAAATTGACCACCTTGCGACCCTTCTAGGTCAATTCAAAGAAAGACCCTTTTATACCCCAAACCCTAAACCCTAAACCCTTTAGGGAAGTCTAAGGAGAGACCCTTTTGAAAAAGAAAGGGCCCTCTGTCCTGCCGAGATTCGGAGAGGCCGTGCTGACGCATGCAGGTCGTTGAAGGGCAGATCTGGCAGAGAGGGCGCTCTCCGGGGATTTTAAGACTTAGAGTTAAGGGTTCAGGGATTTTTGGGTTTAGGGTTTAGGGGTTTAGGGGTTTAGGGGTTTAGGGGTTTGGGGTTTAGGGTTTAGGGTTTAGGGTTTAGGGTTCAGGGTGTTTAGTTTAGGGTGGGTTCAGGGTTTGTGGTTTAGGGTTTAGCATAGCATGGAGGGCTTCGGGATATGGGTTTAGTGTTTAGGGTTTCGTCGGATTTCTTGCAATAATATAGACCTTTGTAGCGGTGTTCAGGGTTCAGAATTTGTCGCTCGCAGAGTCTTTTCTCGACGGGGCCGTGCGCGAAGCCACCGCTCCGGCGGTAGTCGCCGAGGCAGCCAAGGGTCTCCGTGTCGTCGATCGTGAGATCCACCAGTGCCTCCATGCTGTACTTAGAGGATCATGGGACTTAGTAAGTAGGGTTATAACTAAGGTAACTATACTTATAACCCTAAGTAGGGGACTTATAACCTTACTTACTAAGTCCCATGATGCTCCAAGTAGGTTTTGAGGCTCCAATGTTGTTTGAGGATGCTGCACCTAGTGTTTAGGGGCTTTGGGGCTTTAGGGCTTTAGGGCGTTAGGGCTTTAGGGGTTTAGGGGTTTAGGACTTTCGGGGTTTAGGGCTTTTGGGCTTTAGGGGTTTAGGCGTTTAGGGGTTTAGGGGTTTTGGGGTTTAAGCGATTTAGTCCTGGCCACCACTGACACTCTGCATGACAGGCAAGGCCCAGCGCCACTCTCCCGCCCAAGTCGCCTGGCCAGTGCCCTGCACACAGAAATTCCTCGGCCGATCGGGAGCTGTCGGAACTTTCCTAAACCCTAAACCCTAAACCCTAAACCCTAAACCCTAAACCCTAAACCCTGAACCCTAAACCCTAAACCCTAAACCCTAAACCCTAAACCCTTGTGCTTTCTAGGTTTGGGAAGGAGTTGAGCTTAACGTTTCAGCCTTGCCGGGTTTGGGGCTTAAGTGTTGCCGCATTGAACTCACGACTGACGGTTCAAACATTCAGGAATCAGAGCTTAGTGTCGAGGATTGGAGGTTTCGGGCTTACGAATTGCACCCCTGTAGCGAATTCTCCCTCTTCGCAGGCTTACAACGCAAAGTTGCTCTCCTGAGCCAGGATCTGGCAACTAACTTCAACCCGAAGTCAGGGTTGCGGGTATAGCCGGCAGCTGCTGAACTTAGAACCGAATTGAACACTCGAACCAATCGCGACTGCTTGTATGAACCCCAAACTCAACATCCCCAAGCCCTGGAAACCCACTCTGCCTTACTAACAAGCTTGACTGGCCCGATAAAGCGTTAAACAATACTACAAAGCCTGAACAACCCTAAACCCTAAACCCTAAACCCGAAACCGTAAGAAAGAACCTTAGAAACAGCCCTATAAGCAGCCCCTGAGCCGCTGAAGACCCGCCGAAGACCTGTAAGTACCCAGGGGCTCCACTGTAGTTCCTTTTTGGGCCTGTTATGGGTTTTATGGTAAGGAATAGGGTATACTGTCCAAAAAAGGAACTACATAGGAGCCCTTGGGTAAACAACCCAGAAGCCTGGAAGCCTAAGTGCAGCCGGCTGCTGGATCGCATGACGCGTTCGGAGGCACGCGGGGAGCGGCAGCCACCAAGGCAACCAGCGGACCCTGAGATTCAAGCGTCATTACTTTCAGCCCCTTTGACGCAACATAAAACTGCTTTTGGCAACCTCTGGGTTTACGATAACAATGACGACGGTTCACAAGAAGAGCCAAGATTTACGGACATGGGTCAGCATGTGGGATTCGCGGCTTCGGACTTTCAGGTTATATAGTACTTTTGTCGTGGCTCCTGCCAGCCACAAGGCCGACGATAATGATCGTGATGGTGATGATGAAAATGAAAAGAAGAAAACAAAATAATGATGATGATGATGCTTTGCAGCAGCAGGGGAAAGGGCCGTCGCAGCAGCAGCGGCAAAGTCACCATCAGCAGCATCATGATCATCATCCAAAGCCCACACACAGCCTAAAACCTTCTACCCTCATAGGTACTCTGAGAAGGAACCCTTACAGGAACCCTTCATGGAGCCCCTCCTTCAAAGCAGGTCGCAGCCAGTACCAGCCGTCGCAGAGCCCTGCACCAAGCAGCACCAGGATGCCTTTCACGAGCATTGGGCGGGGGAAGGTGGGCGAATGAATCCGATTTAGGGTTTATGGAAGGAGAGCGGGCGGATCTGGGGGCTTTCTACGATACAAGGCGCCTCTTTCTTCTACTAGGTCTTGAATTCTTTATGAATGCTACTGCGTATTCTCTTATCGGAGAAAAGCTGAGGTCGTCCTTGATGCCGGGTCTCTCGTTTGGTGAGTTCACCACACACACACAAGACCCTGGCTCTAGGGTTTCGGGGTTTAGGGTTCAGGGTTTAGGGGTTTAGGGTTTCGGGGTTTCGGGGTTTCGGGGTTTAGGAGTTT